GTCATTTTTTCAGTGGAACCTGTTTTCCTAGCCTTTTAGTACTGGGTTTATATCTTGGGTGAGACGGTGAACTGCTATCCTTACCTGCCCATGCAGATATCTTTCTTCCTCTTAAGCAGTGTTTCAATCTCCATTAGCAAGGGTACAGCAGAGGAAAAGAGACTGTCAGATCCCCAGGGATCTTGGTGAATGTTTTAGCACAGGAAGCAAGATGCATGTTGCTGTGGCATCAGATAGTTTTACCTCCTGCTGGGTCAAATTTGAATGTCAAACACATTAGCTGTGATGTAAAACACGAGGTGCTGAGTGAAGTGATGGCCTGTGGTATAGGATGACATCCTGGTGCTCCTGACAGCTTCACTTCTCCTTATCGTGGGGTGCGGAAAAGATGTATCCTCGAATATGCTATTTGCATAAGAATGACAGGATGTGACAGGACAAATGAAGATTAATGAGATGCTGTACTGTCAACATTGCCCATTGTCCTTAGATTGATGATGGTCTGGATTTTGTCCAGGTTAGTGGGCTTCAGTGTAGCTTAAACCAGACAGTATCCTGGTAGGTTGAATACTGAAGAGCTGAATCTTTACGAATGCTTTGTGAGTACAGGATGTCTTGGTTTCCAGTTTCGAAGCATCTTACGTGTTGGTATAAGAGCATGTGTTCTGTGTATTGTGCCAGTGCAGAGGATTTTTGCTGCCTCCTTTTGCATATTTATTTTGCTTTTTAAAAACTTCCTGCTTCCTAGCCTTCCTCTTCACCTTTTTCCTCTTCGATCTCCTCTTCCTTCACCTGCAAGTTTTGCTCTTCCTTAGTTAAGTTCATTTGGCTGCAGCGTATTAACCACGAGGTTTCAATCCAGCTTATTCAAAGAAAATGTGGATACTACTGAGTTGTCTGTTCTGCTTACATAAACAAAAAAACCCCTAAACTGCAGCCTGTGTTCTTCCTAGCAACTGCCAAGCACGAGGAAAGGGAATAAAACTCCCTTCCCCCATGGTTCATTTGGATTTGGAGGAGTCTTCTGGGCAGAGAAGTTAAATAGAGGTTCATCAAGTTGATCGGACCCTCAAAATGTTGATTACTGTGTAGTTATGGGACAACCTTAAAGTGTCTTGTTTTGATGAAAACAAAAAATGCATGGTAGACCCATTTGGCAGAATCAGTAAAGAAATTATAATTTCTTGCCTGCAGTAAAAGTAAGTAACCTTTCCTCTTTAAAAACATCAAAGTTCTGTCTTTCTGAAGGCTTATGGAAGAAATTCAAATAGTTAGGTTTTCAGTTTTACAAGTTAAAAGGAACAGGAAAGAATCTTGCATATTTATTCATTGTTGTCTGGAAATGTGTATGTGCTGTTATAAAGCAGTGATGCTACAACATATTTAGCAGTCAGATGCGATGGCATAAACTTAACTCACTACCACGTAATAACTTAATGGCATAAACTTAACTCACTACCACGTAATATATTTTCTGTATTACATGTTCGCCTATTTGTGATTTCCATTTTGGCCAGATACAT